ACCCAGCCCCCTAGATCCACCACCCGCTGTGTGTTCCTGGGGGTTGGAGCCCACCCAGATGCTTGGATGCCCTCCCTGGGGTGGTGGAGGGGGGTTAGAGCCCACCCAGCCCCCTGGGACCCATGGCTGGGACCCATGGCTGGGACCCAGGAGGAAGAGGAAGAAGAGTGTGAGGAAGAGGAAGATGAGGAAGCTATACGGGGCAAAGGCGGTGGTGGTGGTGGTGGAGAAAGAAAAGAGGAAGAGAAAGAGGAAGAGGAAGAGGAAGAGGAAGAGGAAGAGGAAGAGGACGAGGACGAGCACGAGGAAGAGGAAGAGGAAGAGGAAGAGGAAGAGGAAGAAGAGAGTGACAGCGAGGGATAGCAGGAAAGGGAAGAGAAGACTGATGAAGATGGGAAGAAGGAAGAGGAGGAAGAGGAGGAAGAGGAAGAAGAAGAAAAGGACTGAGAGGAAGAGAAATGGGTGGATGATGAAAAATGGAGAAACGATGATGGTGACGAGAAGAGAGGTGAGAAGGAGGAAGAGAAGAATGATGATGAGGATGATGAGGGTGATGAAGGAAGTGGACGATGAGGAGAATGATGATGACGATGAAAAGATGAAGAAGGGCGATGAGAATAACGATGAGGAAAAGATTGAGAAAACGAGGAAGAGGAGGTTGAGGAGGAAGAACAGGAAAAGAAAGGTGGAGAAGGAGGATGTGAGGGGAGCGAGGAAGGTGATGATGAGGATGATGATAAGCAGCTGAAGAAGAAAAACGAAGACAATGAAAAGGATGATGAGGATGATGGCGATGAGAAGGTTGAGAAGGATGATGATGAAGGCAATGAGGTTGGGGAAGAAAAGGACAAAGAAAGAGATTGAGGTGGAGAAAGGTGGTGAGGATGAGGATGGTGACGATGAGGAAGATTTGGGGGAACTTATTCGCAGCGAGGGCTCCCTGCTGGGCTGGAACTGAGGAAGGATCACCGGGCAGGAGGAGGAGGAGGAAGATGATGATGATGATTAGATGGATGGGATGAGGAAGAGCAACACGAGGATGATAACGAGGAAGATGGTGAGAATGATGAAGTTGAGAATGATGAGAATGAGGCCGAAGATGCTGAGAATGAGGAGGACGGTGAGAGCGATGAGGAGGAGATGGTGAGGATGGTGAGAATGGTACGGCTGGTGAGGATGACGATGATGAAGATGGTAGGGATGAGCACGAGGATGATGAGGTTGGGGATGGTGAGGATGAGGATGGGGACGGTGAGGACGATGAAGAGGAGGATGGTGAGGATGGTGAGGATGAGGATGAGGACGTTGAGGAGGATGAGGATGATGAGGTTGGTGAGGGTGAGGATGAGGAGGTTGGTGAGAGTGAGGATGAGGAGGTTGGTGAGGATGAGGATGAGGACGTTGAGGAGGATGAGGATGAGGAGGTTGGTGAGGGTGAGGATGAGGACGTTGAGGAAGATGAGGATGACGAGGTTGGTGAGGATGAGGATGAGGAGGTTGGTGAGGGTGAGGATGAGGAGGTTGGTGAGGGTGAGGATGAGGACGTTGAGGAAGATGAGGATGACGAGGTTGGTGAGGATGAGGATGAGGAGGTTGGTGAGGGTGAGGATGAGGAGGTTGAGGAGGATGAGGATGGTGGGGCTGAGGATCGTAAGGATGAGAATGAGGACAGCGAGGATGAGGAAGGTGAGGATGAGGATGGCGTGGACGAAGACCCCCACCGTCTCCCGCGACTCACCTGAGCGGACCCCTCCCCTCCGGCCCGAAACTGGGGCAGGGTCTCCAAGCAGAAGACCACGATGGAGACGAGGATGACGAGGACGGAGAGCAAGGCCACGGCGCGGGCGGCCGGCGAACTCTCGGGGTGCTCGCACAACAACCACGCCCGTCGTCGCAACCTCCCGCCGGGCAAGGGTTGGGCCACCTCCACCCCGAAGCCTTCGGCCTCGCGGAGTCTTCCTTCCGCTTCGGCGCCCAACTGGTAGAAACGCAACTCTTCCAAGAAGACGTCCAAGGGGACGTCGGGCGGGCGCCGGAGTCTTCCTCCGGATTGGTAGTAGTAGAGGACGGCGCCGAAGGCTCCGCGGTGCCGGTCGAAGAAGTACTCGCGGCGTTGGGGGTCGAAGTACCGGCGGCGGCGGCGGGGGTCCCCCA